CACAGTCTTGCTTCTAACACCACACACACACAGCACAATTGTGCTTAAATCCCTGAGCTACTGGTGAAATCGTGTCCTACATGGATGGTGTTACCATAATCCATTATTTTCTAAAGCTGTCAAACTTGAGGCCTTGAGCTGGAAAGCAGCCACGCAAAAATGAAATCCAGTTACATTTGGAAGCCTACACCTCTGTGGGAGTTCTAATCAGGTTGAGTGCGGTTCTGTTCTGCATAGAACAGCTCTCAGTGCAGGAGGTAGGCCATTAAATGCTTTCTGAACTCCATTAGTTACTCCTGCTGAGAGTGAAAAAGTCCTCATAAATGCATAAAAACTAAATTGCCTATGAGGTAAAGAATGAGGTGGTACTTTGCTGCCAAGTATTATTTCCCATTCAAATAGTCTACAATCACACATACAATGCAGAATCAGAGTACATACCTGTGAGGAATGCTGTACTCAAAAACCTAATGGCATCTCATCATCTGCTAACAACCCCTGACTTTGCTTCAAGATACCTTCCCCTCTGTTCTCCATCCCCACCCCAGAGGGAGCCCACAGCCTCATTTCCGGCTGGACATGAGACTCAGGCCAGACCAGCCCGATCACAGCATCAGAGGTGACTGGTCTCAGGGATTTAGGGAGGGAGGCACATGACCCAGTCGAAGCACCGAGGGCAATCTTAGGTAGAGAAAGAGAGATGCACTCTTTTTTCTCCTACTGCTTTCCCTGAACTTGGCAGAAGTTGGGGCTGGGATGACATGTGGCTGTTTTTCCATTGTGTACACCGTTAAGGAAGGCGAGGGCCAGTGTGAGATAGTGAGAGAGACATTGCATCTGTGTGACACTGTTTGGAGGCCCAGTATCCAGGTGTGTATCTGAATTTTCAGTTACATTAGCAAATATATCCCATTTTTCTTAGATATAGATTTTCTTTCACTTGCAATCAAAATAGTTCTCGACAGCCTATTAAGGTGAACCATTTCAATGAACATTTCAGACTTGGAAGAGGCACCTCTCATTCTACAGATATAGGAGAGCAATGAGATGCGGTGAGGTGGCTTGCCCAGGTCCTCTGCTAGTTCACAGTATACACAGGACTACAACTCAGGTCCCCCACTTTCACATGTGAAGTTTGCTCTACACCATGGGAAAAATGTGCACAATGGACTTGTCCTAAACTTTTAAATTAAAACTTTGCTCCAAAGAAAAGGATACTTATTGGTATTATACTTTTAAAAATAATTCATGAATTAATTTTAAGTTATCCTTTGCAGTTACCTAGAATAGGGGCAACTTGAGAACACATTAATTACATTTCTCAGAAATGTGCAGGTAGTCTGTTCTAACAGCAACAGAAATAGCCCAACAAAATAGCTTAAAATGTTTTATTAAGTATATATAATATTACAGGGTAGTATTTACAAAGTTATATTTTTTAAATAAAAAAAGTACGTTGGCAAAGATTGCAGATATTCAAAGCTTCAAACAGTGATAAATTGATTTAATACATATAAAAAAAACCTTTAACGGTAACATAGCTGTAAAATAACTTTGGTCTTTAAATCACTGCAAAAAATGGCTACTGACAAATAGCACACCTTTAATTGCTATGGAAAAAAAGCCCCCAAGAGAGGATCTTGCACATAGCAACGCTGGAGTTTTCTTTATTTAGAATGGTTAATGGATATTTATACAATGTGGGATCTAATTCTCAACAATGGCTTTTTGTAAATAATGCTCTGTTTAATAAAAACAGAAATGTTTCTCTCTCCCGCAACCCTGATAACAACACTTTTAAGATTCCACTGATGTTGCCTTACAGAGAAGCTTATGTAATACAAACGCTCTCTTTTTTTCAAAAGGCTAAATTTATGGGAAAGCTGGTCTTAAATGATAAGTAAGAGCTGTCAAAAACCAAAGGCAGGAAAACTTTCTGTTCACTGCTTATCTCCAAAGTTACCTGGATTATCCTTAGCAGCCACGGAAAATGACTTAACAAAGGACCTCATGGGTGACGGCAGTTAGTGATTTTTTAAAAAATGACACATGTAAAACTAATGTTTCTAAACAAACTCTCCATCAAATAAAACACAATACAGAGATGAGGGTTGTCCCACAATCATTTTTCCAGTTTCCAATGACAGATCAAGGGGTATGTATTTTTATACGCACACCACAGATCTCTGGTTCTGAATACTCATTTTAGGACAAAAGAAATCTAGAAGGTGATAAAGAGTTTAATTCTTATTAATGAGATGAAGGAGTAAACTTGTCACTTTTTGAGCTTTAACTCAAACCACAATTTGGTCGGTCACTTACTACACTGACTACACCATCCTGAAAGAGAGCAATACTCCCAATTACGGGATAGTTTCATTACTTTAATTCTGACATTATCAGAAATTTAAACAGAATGGACCTGGAGTTTCCACATGAAAAAAAAAATCATCACTTTTTTCAGGTTTTCAGAGCATGTGAAATTTGTTAGAAAAGTGTCTAGCTCATCCTATTAAAAGTAGTGGGAAATCTACATACAGCCAACTCTCTATCACCAAACTTATGTACTGAATATCTAATGTATGAAAAACATTGCAGGAAAAAAAAGGAAGTAAAAAAAGCTCTTGCAATGGAGGAATTTTAAAATCAGGTGAGGGAAGCAAGACAAAAAGGCTAACAGAGCAAAGCAGAGACACATGAACTATTAGGAAAGGTAGGATAGGAAGCGGCAGCTCGGAGCAGCTGTCCAGAGGTGGCTGGACAGCTGGGGACAAACTGCAAAGGAGAGCCAGTTGAGGAAAAAAGGGCTGCAGGATGTTTTGAAGGAGAGGGAATAATTGATTTGGCCAAAAATGTTGGAAAAGTTGCAAAAATGACAAATCGTGTCACTCTGAGGACATACAATAAATAAAACCGAATTAAGAGTCAGTGGCAAAAATGGATCAGTGAGTAAAAAGCAGATCATGGGGGGAAGAGATACATGATGTTCCAAACATTGTGAGCAATTCTGTTTGGTGTGGCAGGAAACTGGGAGCCACTAAAGAGAATGAACGGGCCCAAAGATGCCCAAGCAACAGGGCTCCTGCGGCTGCAGTCCTTTTCCAGAGCAGGTGACAACTAGTAAGAGCAAGAGTTGCTTTCAGCTGGTACTTCTCCTGCTACCTCTGTGCGTTGTCTGGGGCAGTGAAAGCCTCAAAAGACAGGCAGCATTAAAGGGAACACAAAGGATAACGTCCCAAGATTGAACCCCAAATAAATGAGAGCTTATTACATATTAAAAGGTAGTTTATAAAAAAGTTCACTATAAAGATTTTCATACCTGACTTTTGTCTTAGTGGAGCACAGGAGTTTGGAACTTTTTCAAGTCTGTCTGCTTTTTTTCTCCTTTCATCAAAACTGTTTTCTAAAGTAACAAACGGCATTAGTAAAATACAAATATTTTCAGAAGGAAAAAGAGCGGCAGGAGCCATCAGCTGTGTATAAAGGAATACAACTCCCTCTACGTATAATATTTCAGATAGCAACACAATCAGGGAAGAAAAACTTTTTTTTCCCAAGAACAGCTGACTTCCTAGTGTGTTCAGTTTTCTAAGAGGCATCAGTAGGTCATAAATTTAGTTTGCTATAGGCAAACCACTTGGTCCCAACATGAAATATGACAATTGATTTGGCATAAAAGAGGCACATGGGAACATTCAGTGGACTAATAACTATTAGTAATGCAACTACAAATAGGAAGTTCTTATTACACAAAGAGGAAGAATTACTAGTATTTTTAGAGGGTTTTGGTGAGCAGTCAACAAGCTTGGCAAATTGCCTAGAAGTTTTTAAAGTTTTAAGTGATCAAATATAATTCCACCCAATAAAGATCTTTGTTTTTAAATGTCTTTACTAAAAGCATGAAATTAACATTTGCTCTCCCGTAGGTACCCCACTGTTGTCCTTACAGAAGACGCATGTGCCTATCTTATACATGTGCACATACAAACACACACCCACACAGGAAAACGAGTGCTAATAATCTAAAAGTACTCCAGGCGATTACAACTGTCAGAATGTTAATTTTCTTCTAATGGGGATAGGAAACATGGGAGTTTTGTTTTACTTCTCAATCTCAGAGTAAAGGGAATATGAGGCAGGACTACAGGAGGAAGATGATGAGTGTTTATCATGCAACATAGATACAACAATAATTAAACCACCCTTTCAAGGGCTGGCTGACTGGCCTGATGGTGAACACGTTATGCTGCCATGCAGGAGACTCATAGTTCAAATCTCAATCTTGGTTTCTCATGCCCCAGATCAGAAAAGAAGTGAAGAAACACTGAAGACTGTGCCTTCAAATCCGAGGAAGGGAATACATATGTTACAACCATCACTATTTTTTCTGAAAAGTGTGAACATAGTTCTCTGAGATAAGTCTGGCTCCTTTCTGCAATGATGCTATTGTGTCACTGGACCATGTTCAAAGAGGAGAAAAGGTGCTACATCTTGTACAGCAGAAGCAAATAACAGGAGGACAAGACAGGGTTTAAAGGGTTGTGTGAACAGAAGAAAAACACATCTGCCAATAAAATTACCCTAAATCTGAAAAGGATCTGTTATACTATATGTTCAAGGAAAATGCTGTGTGAATGGCAACCCCCAAGAATGACGACCATAATGTCCATTGATACAGCATCACACATAGGTGGCATACAAGTTCCCAGTCAAATTCCTGTCTGTACTTGGATTTGCTATTTCTTTGACCAGAAGTGGCAAACACATTATTCAGCGAACACCATAACTGCCAAAGGGGCTGTGAGTTTGCTAAGGTTTGATGGAAACCATTGTTGTTCATAGGTATCTCTGGGTAACCACCAGGTTATTCTCACCCTGAACAAATTTACACTAGTGTGACCTAGAGTCAAGAGGCCCTATGATCTGAAAGGCATAATTCTTGGAAGTTGCTCACTCACTTTTGCCCCTAACTGAATAAAAGTAACAATAAAAAAACTGGATCTCAGTTGGGCACACAACACAGATCATAACTCTTTTATTAACTAAATTACAAATGCTTTGAATAAAAACTTAACTGTAACAATCATTTAAGGGTCAATGATTTATATTCTCCCAAAGATGTAAACCAGTTACTTGTTTTCTTCTCATGAACCACGAATCAAGGCCATGGTGCTGAAACACAAGCATATTCCTTTCATGTCTTACTACTCTCCAAATCAGAGTCCATCACTTCACGTCAGTTACTCTGGAAAATTAAAAAATAAATATATAATCATTATTCGTGCCTACTTTCTATGCATTCACAGGTTGATACATTAAAAATTTGGAATTGTTCTTCAAATATACAGGATCTAAAAATAAAGTATTTGATCTTAGGTCTGCAAAGGCCATAGACATAAACCAGGCAATTCATTACCCTTTTTTTAAAAAAGGTGCAGTAAGAAAAAGGCCGGTGCCAAATGAAAATAAAAATTGATAAGGTCTGATAATCTCAGTTTGTTGGGTTAGCTGAGAAGCAAAGAGGTGCTGATTTTTCAAAGCAAAATATATTGATCACAGGATAATATTCTGGCACAGTCACTTTAGATTTACATCATCCATTGAATGGAAGTGAAACAAACATGTAATTAGGTGTAAGTGGAAGAGGAAATGGTGTCGGGGTCCTGAGGAGGGACATCACTCACTGACCAGGCAGACACACTGTCAAGCAGTCTATCAGTAGGAACAGTCCACAGTAAGATATTAAAAAACAACAACAAAAAACCCCCAACAAATTATGAACAGCTAAATATTTACAAAATTAAGGAAATTTCAAAGGTCATCATGGATATCATTATGTTATGAGCACATAAAAACTACTGTATCTCCTGATAGAGTGATTCAAAGAAAGTCACATCTTAAGGGAAATTAACATACGAAAAGGCACCCAAGACTCTTATACTGGCTTTCTGAAAATTGAGAGAAGTTCAGTTTCTTCATGTAACTACAGAAGAATGACACCATAGTAGGAAAAGGAAAGAGAAAAGAATTTAACAGAAAGAACACCAGAATGCTAACATGGACAAACCATGCCACAATTCCAAGTACCAGTTCTTTTGTTAAGGTCATTTAATTTATTCCTATTAACTACACAAAACATGCAGTTTTGCAATAAGGGCTGTGACACAAACCTATGAAAGTAGGATCATTCTGTGACTCCCTGTTGAACACAGCCTAAGCATTGTTTCAAAAAGTCAATCAACATACAATCAGTGTGTTTTTAATTTTGTGCAAAACTTAATTTCGCTCAGGGGAATAAAGCCTCTTGGGTTAAATGCGCTTTGCTACAGAGGTGAGCGGGTAGGTCACAGACTTTAAAATAGTAAAAGAGACAGCAAACTATTTACATGATCAAGGAATGATTGCAAATATCAAAGGTATGAAGACATTTTTGATAAACTAAAAATACATAGTTATTAAAATATTAAAAGAACTGAAGTATCGTGGCATGTTAAAGTAAAATAAAATGAATACTTATAGCACTCAATATCTCAGACTTCTTGATCTTTAAGAATATATGTGTGTATATATATATATATGTCTTTAAAATATTCAGTAAAAAGTAGAAGTAGCTCAAAGTTCCAGAATAAGAAGCAAAAGCTGCAGAGACTAAACATTTCTCTTTTTAAATCCATTCCCAAAAGGCTAGAACCAAATTCCTGCTTAGAAAAGCAGAGATATTAAGTCCCCATGAGTTAAACGCAATAAATTGCCAACACAAGCACAAAAGAAACTCTGTCAAGATGATAAAGATTTGTGTCAGATTATCTACATGTGTTATAAAAAGCACTGTAAAGTTACTTGCCAGTTACTGCAACTGAAAAATATTTTTTAAAAAGCGGTAATTTCTCTTTGCTATGAGCAATGTGACTGGAGAGTCTGATAGTAATACCCTACAGCTTTTATTATCACCAGCTTTGCAACTTTTAACAGATTTAAGTTTCATAAATGAGGAAATGTAGACCTTTATGATTTGACAGTGTCCCTTTTACTAAAAAAAAAGCCATACTTTGAAGAAGCAATTTTATTTCTTTTCAGTGTCCATATTTTAGCCAATCTATAATTGTAGGTACACTTTGTACTTACCATCATTCATCATTCCTTTTGATTCTTTAAATGCTAAGAATTAGTAGTAAACCAAGCAAGCAGTTAGTAAGGTTACACAATTAGAAATCATTTCTAAATAAACAAAAATGCACTAATATCATGCCAACTATATACCATAGCTGTAAAGCCGAATTAATTTTAAGGCTACCATTTATTACAAAAGGCTTTCTGTGGATCATACCCACAGCCTCCACAAAGGAAACAAAGTCAGTTGGGATACAGATCTATATTTAGAGAGAAAGAAAGAGATATTTTGTTCTCACTCCAGTGATAGATTGTATCTTTCTGAAATGTATAAATCAGAAGTTGAAATTAATTGAGAGTCTTCTCTAATGGGGATATTACAGGTCATTTTGGCCAATATGAAAAGGCAATGGTCCCCTCACCCAACCATCACTTGGCTAGCACAAGCAACTACTTGAGCAACACAGTGCAGTGTATTTTTCTCAGAGATGAAAATATTACAGAGCAGTACTCTTAATTCTTGGTGAATAATCAAGAGAGGTCAAGGAAAGAAAAAAAAACTACCTTCTCCCCAAGGTATAGATGGAGCATTTTAACTGCTTTGGGAGCTAGTTCTAATTGTAATCTAGTAATGGATCAAGCAGAATATACAAGTTTGTAATAACCACATACCATTAAGGGGTTCCTCTACAGCTTTCTGGAAAATATTTAAAATATATTTACATAAAAATAGATTTTATTTCATATCCTTTTATAATTTATATACACTAACATTTAAATTATATAGTAAACAGTGAATCCTATAATCTAAAAACAAAAAAAGCAAACCTTGTCTTCCTAATAGTTTAATAGTAACTGTATCATTTTCTTAATATTCTTTTCCTATGCAGATTTACCCTACCCATCCTACCTCTCTCAAGAAATCCTAACTTCTTGAAAAAATTATTGAAGTGCAAACATAAGTAGCAGGATAATCAGTACAGTTAAAAAAGAGAGCAGAGCAAAGCAGAAACATTTTCAGGTGATGCAAAATTGAACTCAGTAATAGGAAAAGTGAATGCATTAGGATTGAAGGGTCCAATGGTTGGATTACCTTAAACAGAAGAACTTCAAAAAGTGCTGGCTGTTTGTGACCAATGTAGAATAAACACCTGAGGTAAGATGTGCATGTGTGCATGCCACACACACACACACACACACACACACACACACACACACACACACACACTCCGTATGTGGCCTGCACCCCCCGACCCCCATGATGCATATATTCCCCAAACTGCTCCAGCCTTGCAGGCCTTTGTGTTGAGGTTTATCAGATTTAGGAGCATGGGTAATCCCACTTCCTACCACACACAGGGGTCTGGATTTGGCATTCCATAGAGCTGTCACTAATCCTTCACAGGGAGATGAGTGCAATACAGTCCTTTCCAGAGCTTATTTCCATAAAATAGCCCTTGGGCCTGTCACTATGATGAGTGTCTATTTATAAGGGATTTTTTTCATACCCCTCCTTGATCTCTCTCAGTTTATCTCCTAAATTTTCTCCTCTTCTTGGAAGTTTCTCAGGTAACTATTAAGGTATTCAAGATACAGTGAAAACTACAGTACTGTTTGGAGGAAGAAAATGCTTATAAGATGGGGGAAGGAGGGAAGTGAATCATAATTCAGAGCAGATATTTTTCAGCAATATTTACATTTTATCAATTATTATTTTTCACAATATCTAATGTAAATCTCTCCCCCTTATTTAAAAATACCATTTTGTACATATACATCAAATGGATCCAATAGATGAGGCAATATATTGGGATCAGCTTTCTTCAACAGAGATAATAACCATCATTCTTACACATAAACTTTCCAGTTTCAGTGTGAGAAGTCAGCCCCATCTTAAGAATCATTTATTCTATCCCATTGCTACCAAATGACCAAACATAGGTTTTAATATAGAATTGGACCTATTCATGCAAAAGTCATAAAATCACTTCAATGTTCTCTTAATTTAATATTACACTGAACAGTAGCAAAAGGGTTCAATATTTCAATTACCATTCCTCAGTCTAAACCACCAAGTGATCATTCTCAATTCATTTAAGAAATTTTAACTTACCCTAGGAGGTTGTATAATCTTCTGATTGGAAGCTGATATAATTAAAAAATAAGGAAATGAATTTAATAAATGAAAGAAATCAGGCAATATAACATTTAATTTTATGATAAAATGTTCAGGACTGAAACTAGACATGCCAGAAACTCCACTGAAAGAGTTCCAGCTTTGATAGTCTATTAAAAAATATAGAACATTCTTGATTACATGCATTTATAGAATACAGTGATCAAATAACCCACCTGCATCAAATTATAAACATACATATTCTCTCATTCGTGCATGCCGTACATCCCCAGAAATCAGCCACTTCCTGGTGGAAAAACACTATCATCTCCTCACCTGCACTGGACTCCACATCCTTCCCTACTCCACCCAGCCAGAATGAGGACAGAATGTGGCAATGACCAGTCTCCACCTCTACTCCTCACCTGCCCTTAGCTCACTGCTCTTGCCCCTTGTAGCCCACTCTTCTTTTATTTTCTCCTTCTACCTTTCCATTTTTCAAAGCTCCAGATAGCTAACAAACTCAAGAAAATATTCAGATCTCCTCTGAGTTTAACGAATTATTCTGAGCAGCTAGTTTTAGCCACAATCAAGCTCTTCTCTATGTATTCCTTCTTAGCTTTCCAAGTTACCCTTTTCACTGCTTCTGAATGGACTGATTAATGAAGATGAAGGAACACAGGGCGTTAAGAAAGTGACAGAGCTGCACAGGGGAAGAAGAGAGAATTTCCTTACAAAAACTAAGGGAGAAGGTCCCAGAGCAACTAAAACCAGTCCTAAATACAGAACACGAGTCCCACAAACACAAAGTCTCAACCAGCAACATCTTATGAACTAGTCAGTAGGAGGGCAGTGCTACTGGATAATGTTGTCATCCCACTGTCCCCTGGATTGGACAGCACTGGATTTGCTTAGGAGCCAAATGAGCACGCCCCAGAACTGCTCTAGGGTTCTGTGCTATTTATTTACTGCCACTCCTCCACGCCTACCCCACGAAGCTTCCAAAGCTGATGGGAAACAGGGTGAGACCTGACCCAAGGGCAGCCAATCTACAGTCTAGCCAGAAGCTGGCAAGGCTCTCAAACAGGGAAAATGGCAACTGGCCTGCAAAGTTTCTCTCTCCCACTGAATCCTAAAGAGGAGAAAGAGAAGACAACTAGAGAGTTGGTTATGGGAAAGAAATGTGGCAAGGAGATACTCAAAGCTTAGAGCCAAAGGTAAGGAAAATAATTAGCAAGAAGACAAGAATGAGATAAAAATATAAGGTCAAAAAGAGAGGATGAGCTAGTTGAGAACTAAAGAGACAGAAACTAAGTAACATAAACTGGCAGGAGGGTATCAATGGACTCTTACTGCAGGGAGGGCAGTATGAGGCCTCAGTCCTTAGAGATGTATTGTATCCTTCCCATTCCTAACTTACTCACTGTTCTGCTCCAGGGAGGTCCAGTTATGTATCTGCTGTCATTAGATTCCTATCTCTGTCAGTGTCATGTGACTTTAAAGTAAATCTCCTTTATTGGCCACACTTGGGGAGAGGTTGGGTCTTTGCAACCAAACAGGAAGACAATTCCTTTTTAAAGTATTATGGAGTGAAATGGGTTACCAATATGGATGAATCACATTTAGTAGCCTTCCATAGAAACCAAGTAGAGTGACACAAATTTACTAGGGACCATCACAAGTTATATGTACAGTTGACTCTTAAACAAAATGGGTTTAAGCTGCGTGGGATCACTTATATGTAGATTTTTTCAATAGCTATATTGGGAACTTTTTTGGAAATATGCAGCAATTTGAAAAAACATCTTCTACCTTGCTTACCTTACTGTAACAATACAGTATATAACATGAACATATAAAATATGTGTTAATCAACTGTTTATGTTGTTGGTAAGGCTTCTAGTCAACAGTAGGCTATTACTAGTTAAATTACTGGGGAGTCAAAAGCTATATGTGTATTTTTTGATTGTGCAGGGCATTGGTGCCCCATTCCCCCATTGCTCAAGGGCCAATTGTATATATAATTTACTTCAACTAAACCATGCTCTATATCTATGTTCTATCAGGGAAAAGAGAACTGAACAGATATGTAAATTTCAGACTGGTAATGTGAAAGTTCAGGGGTAGGATTTTAGAGTCATATTTTTGAACTCATAAGTTTATCATAATTCATACTGAGAACTGCCAAGTAACTCCTTTTCTACCCTAGGAATGTGTAAAGAATAGTTTCTGAGTTCCAAGGAACATCACATTCGGCTAGTCCACTGTGGAAAAAAGAGGTTCTATAAAGAACAAGGATTCAAAGGGATACCTATCAGCTGTGATAGCTCTGATAATACGTATTTAAAAAATAAAAGCTTCAAGGATTCCATATCAACTGACTTGCAATGCCATAAATATATTTTTAGGTGTTGAATTTTCAGAAATACTTTTCCTATGGATCCCAGAGTTCCCTTCTTCCAAAAATGGGTGAGACAATATCATTAAATTATATATATATATATTCCGTGTCTTCTAAAATATCTTTGAGATGTGATAAATATGATTTCTGACTGCTAGAAGGCTGATTTGATTCAAGACATGATCATATGCCCTTATACTGAATTGGTAATGGTTTTTAAAAAATGAATTAGATTGACCCTTAGAAATAATGGGTATAGAAAGTCCTATAAATATCAAGCCCAATGTTAGTGAGTTTAATCTTCTATATATGTTCTCACATTGTTATTGTTCCCATCCCCTGAATTCATTTTATAAGATTTAAATGCTTCCAGTAAAAAAAAAAAAAAAATCCAACATAGTTAGAAAAGATCATAGGCAATGCAGATTAAAACACTACTCTTTAAAGTAACAAGGCCACAAATTTAAACTTGGAAATAATAAAAACTATAAAATTTAAAATTCTCATAGGTTCATTAACTTTCTCTTACAGAGGTAACTTGTATTTTTAAAAGAAAAACTATCTGAGGATTTTATTGCACTTAAGTTATGTTCATTTGAGTTTTCCAAAACAGAGCATATGCAATGAATAAGAATTATTTTAGAAACATTTGCAATTTTTAATTGGTACAAATGCTCAAATTTGTAACCTTACTGTTACACATTCTCAAGATTTACACATTCATATAAGGAAAAAATCAATTTTCCTATTCTACCACATCTAAAGAGCAACTTCCAGTACCTTTTCTCTTCTTGCCCTTCAACTGACTGAAGGTGTACCTCTGAACTCTGGCATCAGACAAGTTGATTTGAAAAATTAATTGAGAATACTCTCAAAATCAGACAAATTGATTTGAAAAATTAATTTAGAATATTCTCAAAATGTCATTTATAAACTCAATTCTCAACTTATATATGGTATACTTATATGTTAAATTACAATGAAGAAAAAATAATTTGGGGAACTTTTCAGGATTTCACTTTTGCTTTGATTTTGATGTGAGAACAGTACATTTGTAATTACACTGGTTTGATGGGTTTCTTAGGGATGTAAGCAATGGAGAAAGGGGAAAGCAAGGTCAAAGGGGGTGGCAGCTAGACAATGCCTAAGTCCACTTGAGTCAGCATTCCAGACCTGCTGGCAACTCTAGTGAATATCACTCTTTGTTAGGCATGGGGGAACATGGGAATGCAGGGAGGGCGATCCAGATGATGAGGACAAAAAAGAACAATGATCAGAGCTGACCATCAGTCAAAGACACCTAATGCCACATCACTCTGTACAGATCACATATTGCTCACAAGTATATATAGGGAGCAACATCATCAAAAGTGTCATCTTCAAGAACCAGATAAATGGTAATTAGAAGACTCAACAAAAATAGAATATGTATCAACATTCATAATGTGATGCTCCTGATAGCTACCAAATGAATGCCACTCTGCTTTATAGGTCTTAATTGTGTTTTATGGATTTACGAGGCATGAACTAAGAAAACTGCATTGAGAAAACACCTCTGATTTATGAACACATAAACTAAAGATAGGTAGATTTTCATTAATATTTTAATTGTTTATATAAATTTTAGTTAAGTACATCAATTGTTTATCTAATAAGCATTAATTAAAAGGGGACAAGGAACATATCACAGAATTCTGAAATTCAGTGATTAATCAGCAAAAGCTGAAGTTTAGAAATTAAAATTTCTTGAAAGTATTATGCAAGTTATATTGGAATTACTTGACTGTTTATATTGAGAAATACAGTAAAGTTCACCTAAAGCAAAGCAGGAACATCCATCTTTCCAATTCATTAATTTTAACTTTTGATTATTTTGATAAGTGATTAAGAATTTGCTTTACTTCATAAATAAAAAACATACTTTTTTAAGGCAGACTAATGTAAATCAGATTGTAGGACCTTCTTTAGTTTAAGGAAGACCATGCACTAGTTATAGGCACTATTAGGAGAATCTATTCTAAAAATGTTATTAAATATAGGAATTTATAAAGAAACTTGTTATGAAAATTGTCAGACTGAACACTAAGTCTAGAAACAATGAGCTAAATCTGTATTTATTAAATTGATTTTAAAAGTAGTAAAAGCCTAAATTTTGCAACTCAATGTTTTTATTACATAGGTTTTAACAAAATATTTTAAAGTCAAGTGTCAGAGGACACTGCTCTTTAATAAGTAATGAAGTTTGAATTATAATTCCTATTAGAGGAGTCAAGGTCTAAAAAATCTATAAGAAGAGTGGGCGATAAATTGGTCTCTGTGAAAGAGCTCTATCATAGAAACAATGGGTCAATTAAAACTCCTTTTCTATTAATTAAAATGAATCCCCAATAATCTCTCCTGTGACTTAAAAGTCTATTCTAAAACACAAACCATTTTGTTGTAAACTAGTTTACAATCTAAACTTTTCATTAATTCAGATGACTTCCTTTCTCTTTTGTTACCCACAAATCATTCCAATGTTATTATTTTAAAAAAAAAAACAGCAATAGGATTCAATGTGCTTTCTCATTTTTGGAGTTACTAATTCATTTCTTTGGTCCTAAACTGTAAGAACCAAGCAAAAGCATTTTTGAAATCATATATTTGAAGTTCTTGGGATAAGCTAACAAAAATAAAGTTGACTTACCAACAAATTTCATATAAACTAATCCAAGTAATTCTGCTAGAGCTATAATACCCAAACCTGAAATCAGAAGAGGGCCATGCACTGGTGTACACTCTGTAAAAACAAATGAAAATTTAATTAGAAATTCAAATAAATTAACCAAATTTGTAAAAAGAACCAACAATAACAGTGATTATCAAGTTTTAAGGAGGATAATTCCTTTCCTAATCACCAAAACCAAAAATTATCTACATAGATTTATTAACTCAGTTAGTGAAATGACTCCAGATGTTAAAAAACAAGCTTTGTCTGCATAACATGTACCTTATCATATCAAGACTAATGGAAAATAGTGTGTAAAGCCTAAGGCTTCAACCAACTGGAGCCTGGTTATTTCAAAAGTTCTCCCACAAACACAGTCCTAGTGGTTTGGCTGCTGTAACAATTAGCCCACAAGCCATGTAAAAACTTCTCATGGCAATGTTGAAAACACCATTCTCAGTGTGGGGGAAATGAAAGTTAAAAAAAAAAAAAGTGCACAACACCAAATGCTGTAAAGGATGTGGAGCAATAGGAACTTTCACTCATTGATAGTGGGAATTGAAAATGGTAAAGCCATTTTGAAAGACAGCTTGGCAATTTGTTACAACACTAAATATATTCTTAACGTAAAATTTAGCAACCACCTCTTTGGTGTTTGCCTAAATGGGGTCAAAAACTTACGTCCACACAAAAATATGCACATGGATGTTTATAGCCACTTCATTCATAATTGCCAAAAGCTGAAAGAACCAAGATGTCCCTCAATAGGTGAATGAAGAAACAAACTGGTAAATCCACACAATGGAATATTATTCATTACTAAATAAAGATGATCTATCAAGTCACAGAAAGATATGGAGGAACCTTAAATGATTATTCCTAAGTGAAACAAGCTAATCTTCAAAGGCTACATACTATATGATTCCAACTATAAGACATTCTGGAAAATGCAAAACTATGGAGACAGTAAAAAGGTCAGTGGGGATTTAGGGGAGGGAGGATGAATAGGCAGAGCTCAGAGGATTTTTTGGGTGGAGAAACTTTTCTGTATGATACTGCATCTATGATCCACTGATTTTACAATTAACAAAATCATAGAGTGTGTAACACCAAGAGTGAGCCCTAATGAAAAGTATGGACTTTGGATAATAATGGTATGTCAGTGTTGATTCAACAATTGTAACAAATGTCCCCCCTGGTAGGGGGTGCTGAGAGTGGAGGAGGCTATGAGTATGTGGGGAATATGGGAAATCTTTGTACTTTCCACTCAGTTTTGTTGTAAACCTAGAACTGCTCTGAAAAATATAGCTTATATATTTAAAAAAATAAAAGAAGAAAGAGAAAGAAGAGCTCTAAGAAAACCCCTAGTAAGACAAACTGGGTCCGAGAGGAATAGGACTCTTACCTGAGACACAGAGGCTTAGTCCAACCACAGAGAGCCCATAGCCTAGCACCTGAAGTATCAGTATGGCAATGATGAAGGAGGACAGCCCAATAGCTGGAGAGAGGAAAAGCAGGTTGAGAGCACTGACGTGGCAATCCTACTCGTATTTCATGCAGTCAAGAATAATATCCTATGACCAAAGACTGACATCCAGATTTCCTCGTCAGATGGCAGTACTCTTTCCCGGTGATCAAACCTTGCCTTTCCACACAAGTAGTAAGCTCCAGACTCACATACTCAAGTGTTTTATTTTCAACTGAGCTGAGCTGGACCATAGATTTTACCCAAAATCATAGGACAATGCTGCTTTTACCATATTTATGCATTCTACAGTAAGAATGGCTATTGTGCATGGCTTTGCCACACGGTACACGCAAGTTCTCTGGTGCAAAGAACCACTATGCAAACACGCCATTGTAAACATTATAACCTCTATCTTGTGAACTTAGGTCTGTGATTTTATAACAAATTAATAGCTCTCCCATGTACAGCAAGCCAGAGATAGGCTCTAAGACCAAGAGTTAAATATGCAAATAGAAAAAAACAGACTGTAACAAAACAAAATTATGTTAGTGGTTTATTCCAAAAATTCAGAGAAGTGATACCAAGTATAGGTTGGATGTCTATGTTGTTTTTTAAAAGTACAATATTAAGATCTGCCAGTAACTAAAAAAATATGTATTTCTACTATTTGTAATTTAAACAGCATTTTGCAGAACTATTTTTTTAACAGAGAAGCTTAGCAGAGAAGAGAAAGAGCATATTCAATATCTACTTACAACTTCATAAAACTGAAGTAAAAATATGAAGATAGTCAATATATGGAAATCACTTTTTGCAAAATAACTGAATGCCTTGAAAACCTAAGCTAACCTTAAAATTAATCCATATGGGGAAAATGTCACTTAGAAAGGCTTGTGTAAATATTTTAATAAACTGACTTTTGTTGAGTTGTTAAAAAAATAAGAAAATATTTTAACCAAAAGTGCTGTTTTTAAATGAAAAAAAATGGGCAAAGTCATGCTAAGCAAATACTCACCTATTGTAAACACACAGTACTGAAGTAATATTAATATTGCTGTAGGAATTACAATTAAACCAAGTCCACAAGCATTCTTTATGGAATATTCACCTGTTAATAAAAACAATATTTAAAATATTTTCCTACATACTTCCAACCCCATGGGAAGTTAAATGAAATTATTAAATATATTAATGTCAATACTACTCTTCTAAACTGTGAAAGGTTTAAAAACATAAAGGCAGAACTCATATTATTGCACTTCACTTTGTTATACTTTGCAGATACTGCATTTCTTATAAATTGAAGGTTGGTGGCAATCTTGTGTCAAACAAGTCTATTAACACAATTTTTCCAACAGCATTTGCTTGCTTCATGTCTCTGTGTCACATTTCAGTATTTCTTGCAGTATTTCAAACTTTGAATCATTATTATATTTGTGATGGTGGTCTGTGATCAGTGATCTTTGATGTTACTATTATAATTGGTTCGGAGTGCCATGAACCATGACCATATAAGATGGAGAACTTAATAAATGTTGTGTGTGTTCTGACTGTTCCACTGACAGGCCAGTCCCCTGTCTTTCTCTCTCCTCTCCTCAGGCCTCCTCATTCCTTGAGACACGCAATATTGAAATTAGGCCAATTAATAATCTTATAATGACCTCTACATGATCAAGGGAAAGGAAGAGTTGCATCAAAGCTAGAAATGACTAAGCTTTGTGAGGAAGGCATGTCAAAAACTGAATGAGACAGGTTGAAATCTAGGCCTCTTGCACCAAACAATTAGCAAGGTTGTGCATGCAAAGGAAAAGTTCTTAAGGGAAATTAAAAGTGCTACTCTCCAGTGAACACAGAAATAATAGAAATGCCATAGACAGTGATTCCTCTGCGGATCTGGACAAAGTCAGTTGAAAACCTTCTCGAAAGAATCACCATTCTAGATGGCATTAAGAACATTCATAATTCATAGGAAGAGGTCAAAGTATCAGCATTCACAGGAGTTTGGAAGAAGTTGATTCCAACTCTCATGAATGACTTTGAGTAGTTCAAGATTTCAGTGGAGGAAGTAACTGTAGACGGGGTGGAAATAGCAAAAGAACTAGAATTAGAAGTGGAGGCTGAAGATGTGACTAAACTGCTGCAATCTCATGACAAAACTGACACATGAGTAGTTCCCTTCTTAGGGATGAGAAAAGAAAGTGGTTTCTTGAGATGGAGTCTACTGGTGAAGATGTTGTGAAGACTGTTGAAATGACAACAAAGGCTTTAGGATAGTACATAAACTTAGCTGATAAAGCAGGAGCAGGGTTTGACTCCAATTTTGAAAGAAGTTCTACTGTGAGTAAAATGCTATCAAACAGCATCCTGTTTCACAGAGAAACTGTGAAAGGCAGCCAGTCACAGCAAACATCATTGCCACAGCCACCCCATCCTTCAGCAAACGCTGCTCTGTGATGGGTCAGCAGCCACCAAGATCGAGGCGGGACTCTCCACCAGCAAAAAGCTTACAACATCCCACTGAAAGCTAAGATGATGGCTAGCAATTTTTAGCAATATTTTTAAATTAAGGTACATACACTTTTCTTTTTTAGACATAACAAAAATCTATTTTGACTCACTGTATTGTGACACTGGCTTTATTACAGTGGTCTGAAACCAAGTCCATGGTATCTCCAAGGTATGCCTGTGTATGTTTCCCCCAAAACTTCACACAAAATAAGTGACTACCTTTTTATTATTTAAGACCAAACTTAAGATAGTTGAGTGTCATCATGTAAGTCTCAACTTGCCGAAACCCTGAATTGTCTCTGCCTCCTTTTAACTACTTTAAAACAGAATTCCAATGAGAAACTGTGGAGTCATCTCTCACCATTTCCTTCATTTGCTATGTTCAATCTGTCCCAAAGTCAAAACAGTTATCTTCTGAATTCATCTACCTCCTTCGCATGTCTTCACTAATTCTTAGCTGCAAAGAGAGCTGCCAAATTTATGCTCCTAAACATTACACCTATACTGTGTCCTGTTCAAAAACAATGGCTTTCTACAGTCTACACTTTGAGTCCCAGCCTATCTTTGCTCTTCTTTCCATGTGCTGCATACCTTTATTTTACATTCACACTCCCTCCCTCCAAATTTAACTACTATTTCAGACTTGCTTCCCCCATTCATTCTCACTTCCATGTTTTGGCCAGTGAAGTTTGCCATTGTATTGCCTTGGAATGCTAACCCAAAAGATCACCTCCTAATTCCCAGAATGTGAATATTAACATATATGACAAAAGAGTAAGCATTACATTATATAGCAAAAGATATGATTAAAGTTAAGGATTTTGAAAGGAGAAGTTTATTCTGGATTATCCAGGTGGGTCCCAAATCCAATGGCAAGTGTCTCTGTAAGAAAGAGGCAGAAGGAGATTTGACAGACACAGAGGAAAAGAAACAGAGGCAAGGAGCAGGCAATGATCATGGATGCAGAAACTGGAGTTATGTGGCCATAAGCCAAGGGGCTGTAAAGATTGCCAGCAAATGCCAGAAGCCAGAAGGGCTACGGAACCCAGGGAGCCTTGGGAGGGAATATGGCCCAGATGACATCTTTGTTTCAGACTTAAGGCCTTCAGAACTCAGAGGGCTTTCTTCTACTGTTTTAAGTCAGCCAGTTTGAGGTGATTCATTACCACCGCCCTAGGAAACCACCTCTCTGCAGCCCTAGGAATGCCCTTGTCCACGCTGGTCCTGCCCCCCTCAGCTTACCTGGGATGAAAAGAATGGCTCCAACAATGACAACTGCAGTGAGCACTAGGCCGGCGACAAATAAAGGAATGGTTTTCTCCTTCGTGTAACTGGATTTATATTTAAGTGCTTAAAAAGAAATCAAAGAATTACATTAACTCAGTCACAAGAAGTGAAGCTTATAAAGTGCAGAGACAAAGTGATAACTTATATAACTGAATAACCCATAAGGAACAACTGCTTCATATCATGTCAGGTCACTTCAAATCTTCTTAATAGTAAGTCAATGACTAAATAGTGTTGTGGCCGTAAATATGGGTGATAAATTTATAGGTGACACTTCAATTCTCTGTATTTTAAAGAATGCTATTATATACATCAGGCTTTCTCAGTCAAGGCATTATTAACAATTTGGGCCAGATAAGTGTTTGCTGGGAGGATGCTCTGTGCATTATAAAATGTTTAGTAGCACCCCTGGTCTCTAAACACTACATGACGATGGTAACAGCCCCCTAGTAGGGTCAATTAAAAATGTATCCAGATATTATCAAATGTCCCCTGAGAATCAAACCTGTTTCAGGCTTACAACTGACATATATAATGCTGAGGAGAAGTACCTGGCAAATTAGTAGTATCAAGAAAAAGAGAATTTTGTTCCACTTTATATAAAATTAGTAAAGCATCTAGAAATCTAAATATTTTATTTTGAAAAAGTAGAATGAACAGTGGACAATCAGACCCTCTTGAAATCCTGAGGGGGGAAATGCTTAAACTGTTCAAGTAAAATAATCTCACAAAAATAAACTACAAATACTCAATAGATTCATCATACATGTTATTGTTTTTGATACGAGCTCTACTGTCAAGTATCTAGTACCTTCTCTGAAAGAAGAGTATGATAGATAAGCCTAAAAATATTACTTCTTTTATTACTATATATTTACCACTTGGATTTTGTTTGGGTTAATAGTAAAATCAATTTTTCACTAAGAAAGTTGTTAAAAGTAGCCTAAAAGCAGACTGAGTAGCAAAGAAACAGAATGCGTGATTGAAATTCTGCTGCGCTTCACACACACGATATTCTCCATGCTATTAATCAAGGGTAACTGTCTTGAGGGGCACAGTTTTTTAAAGTGCTGCACTTAAATTTGCTTCCACTAAAATGACAAACAGATTAGATATACTCAAACCAACAAATAAATCCTAAATGATCACACTAAATTCAATGTTACAGGTATTATGACCTAGGGTTATATTATAACCTATGGTTAAGGCATTTAAGGTATAATACAGCATAATAACATAGGCACCTGACTTTTAAAAAATCTCTCCCTTCTCATACGTTAGATTGTAACCTCAACTTTATACCCATTAGGGGGAGATGGAAGGTTAGGCAATTATCAGTCCTGAAGCTGGGTAACTGGAATCTACACAAATCAGAAGAGTGAGAAACAATGCAGCAAATTCCCCAGGCTTTCACTTGATCCATCCAGCCTTGAAACTCATGTGACGATGACTCAGTTGTGGCCCCACCTTCTCACGAGGCACAGATTTTCACAGCTTCACTATTTTCTAGCTTCAAACACAGGCTAGGATGAAACTCCATGGATACCTCATAAAAGGCACTGACATAGTTAGAAAAAGAAACTTTCTCTAGACGCGTGTTAGATTGCCCATTTTAATTCCATATATACCGTTATCTAAATAGAACTTGAAAATTCTGCAAAAAGGTTATCAAATAGAAGCCATTTCAAAGGTCCTCACAATCAAACATTCCTAAGAGACTCTTCCAGGTTCAATTCAATACATAAAAGGGCTACTTAGATCAAGCAGCAAGAATTCAAGTTAGAGTACAGTAGAAGTTCATGTAAAAGGGTAGGCGTTCCATTCTTAACAAAAGTAAGAGTCTGAACCTCATATAAAATTCTACCTCTTCAGGCTTAGGAAGAGCTATAGAAGAAAAACAATGCCAACAATAGTAATAATAATAAAGCAACACAAAATATTCCTATTGACAATGTTTTACCACAGAATGGCCTTTTCAAAACCTTTGCATTTAACGACACTCATACTGGAGGTACCTTTAGTTCCTGTTGATTAGGTCAACTACCACTTATTTTCAAGGCTATCTCAACTCTTCCTTAAATTAAGCAGCCATTTCTAACAAATATACTAGTAAGGTCTATTTAAGTAACCATAAGCAATGAAAGAATACCTCCATATTCCATTTAATAAACCTTTAAAAAACATTTCTTTTGACTTATTTTCTTTGCTCACAGTGACCATATTTTAGCAGGTCCCTAGGAAGTGTGAAGCTATCCTGTTGCTAGCCCAGTTGTCAAGTTTTCCAGTATAGCTAAAGGGTCAGGAATCTAATATAGATGCCATAGAACCCAATAATCTCAAAGATTCTTTATTGGTAATCTTTTCTTATCCTTTGATAAATAGATTTATCCTTATTTATTAAACCTATCAAAACTTTAATTGTAACAGAGAAAATAAATTCAAGCCATTTCCCAAACATTTAGCATTAAGATGAAGATAATTTAATATGTTCTTAATAACAGGTATTTGTCAAACTTCTTGGTATGATTTTCTGGCTGCTTGGCAAGAGAGTATAAGTCATTTAAAAAATCTGCACACTTTAAGCTTCCCTTTAGTTAAGAGTACTGAAATCAGTATTGAAATCAAAACAAAATATGAGAAATAACAGTATTTACACTTATTAAGACTACTTTTTTTGGCATAGTTTTAGGTTTACAAAAACATTGAGAGGGAGGTACAGAGTAAACCCATATATACCCTACCCCACACATGCATACACATGCATAGACTTCCCTATTATTAACATCACTTACCCAAATGGTATGTTTTTTACCAAGGATGAACCTACATTGACATATCATAATCACCCAAAGTTCACGGTTTACCTTAAGGCTACTTTGGTGTTTTATGTTTTATGAGTTTGGAACAATGTATAATGACATCTGTCCATCATTATGTCCTACAGAGTATTTTGTATCAGAAATCCTTTGTGATCTGTCTATGCATCTCTCCCCCATCTCCCTGCTGCTAGTGCCCACAGATCTTTTCATTGCCTCTAGAGTTTTGCCTTTTCCAGAAAGTCTCATAGTTAGAATCACATAGCATATAACTTTTTCCAATTGGCTTCTTTCTTTCACTTACTAATTGTTGTTTCAAGGCCCTCCATGTTGTTTCATGTCTTGATAGCTCATTTCTTTTTAGCACTGAATAATTTTCCATTGTCTGGATGTACCACAGTTTATCTGCCTACTTTGAGAGACATCTTGGTTGCTTCCAAGTTTTGACAATTATGAATAAAGCTGCTGTAAACATCCATTTGCAGGTTTTTGTATGGACATAAGTTTTCAACTCCATTTGGATAAATACTGAGGAGCATACTTGCTGGATCATATGGAAAGAGTTACCTTTAGTTTTGCAAAAACTGCCAAACTGATTTCCAAAGTGGCTATACTATTTTGCATTGCCCCCAGCAGTGTATGAGAGTTCCTGTTGCTCCACAGTCTCACCATCATTTGGTATGGTCAGTATTTACATTTTTAACAAAAACTTATAAACTTAGTGCTACCTGATACAGTAATATCCAATATATGGGGGAGGCAATATCACATTATTTTTTAACAAATTAGGTATTCTAAAAATCTCCCCCTTTATACCCTTCTATAAAATAATTACATACAGCCAGCTACTTCTCAGAAATGAGCTAGGCTGGTTCATACATTCATTTTACAAATATTTAGTGTATACCGACAATGTAGTAGGCCTTTTTCTTAGTTGAAATATCAACCAAATCAAAGTACAAGTAGATCAGTCTATTCAACAATAACTGAGCACCTACAATGTTACAACCACTATCTTAAATGCTGGCATTGAACAGAAAAGACAATACTCTTTCCTGAATGCCCTTACATTCTAATGGGTAAGTGAGGGTCTATTTTGGGGAGTGGGAGGAGTAAACGATAGAGGGTGTTACTCCCAAGATCTTCTCCAGTTAATTAAAAGATATGGGTTAATTGTGGTCTAAGAAAGCTCCTTTAAGTATTTAATCTTTCAAATTCATGCAGATGAAGTACTGACATGTCCCTCTAGCCAACTGAAGAAACAGCTAATGTTATGAATAGATACTCCATTAAGGTTTTCTCATCTCCTGTGACTGAAATAAATCAAATATAAGGGAGAATGCAGGCTGTGATTGATGAAATCTACTGAAATTATCAGGACAAAGTGGAGACCAAATAAAATCTATCATCTTAGTTTATTTAGTTATTTTATAGAAGATATAAAAAGGAAAATTTTAGAATTCTCAATTTGTTACTCAGGCTTCTTCCTCAGTAGGATCAACAGCATCTTGAGATACAGTTCAGGCATAAACAAACTCTTTCTCCTCAAAGTAAAGGCACAATCTGCTGTCTTTACTGAATATTTAGCCTAAGGAAAGTCCAGGTTTTATCTTGGTCTACCAAAAGACTGACATGAAAAACCAGCAAATTTTTCCAGCAGAGCTAGAAAAACCACTGAGAGAAACCCCCTGTGGTCAAACACAGACCGTAAATAGTAATCAGAAAAAGTTTAGGAGAACTAGAAACCTAGAAAGTGAAAGTCATGGGTTTGAGTTATTATTAATATTTTAGGGGCTGTTAGATACTGCACTCTAAAAAATGCATAACCAGGCAGTGGGTGGAAAACAAAGGGGCTCTCCATTTATTGGAATCCCCAGGCCATAAACAAGAGTCTTCTTAAAAAGCGTACCTCTTAAAAAGTAGATTTAGATTCATGTCTATCTCCAAGATGTGACAGAAGGCACAGAACATGTACACTTACATGTCTCTTCAACTGAAATGTGTGCTCAAAGCCAGGGGCAATATGCATTTCACTTCCACATCTTGATCCTATAGCACAGTGCCTAGTTACCACTAGTCACCCTGTCAATAGACAGTTGCTGAATAAATAAACAAAGCAGGTCCATATCCTGCTCTATAAATAACAGTTTCATCTACTCAGTGTATATACCCAGATACAGGTTCACTTGTCATGGGAAAAAAAATTCTTAAGATAATGTCAAGACAGGGACTCTCTTGTCCCCTCCTGGGGTGAGCCAGGAGCTCTGTCCTTTCACTTTATTACTAAATAAAAGCCTGTTCCTTGCTCTCCTAAAAAAAAAAAAAAAGAAGAAGAAGATAATGACAAGACAGGGAGGAAGTGTAGTATTAAACAGCAATGGCTCAAATCCCAGCACTACCAGGAAACAGCTGGGAGATGTAGGCAAATCATCTAATCTGTCTGTGCCTCTGTTTTATATAAAACAGGGATGATAACATTTACATAGTACCTACCCTGACAGAGTTCCTGAGAGAAGTAAACGTGACCGCAGATGAGGAGTCCTTGGCATAGTGTCTATCATACAGAGCAAGAGCACCAAACCTGTAGGCACTATCACCATAAACACCTTTGAATGAGCCTCGACTCTGGGTGAGTCAGGCGTATATATGTGCCTCCTCAACCAGCCCTCCTCACACCACATTTGTTCAAGATGATCCTAAATAAAAAATTGCCACCAAAATATTTTTTTAGGTTTCTAAGCACACTCCCTAAGATAAGACCAGTAGGATAAATACAAAAAGAACATGCAGCATCAATAACACAAAAACGAAAATTAAAACAAGATGTTTTTTTCACCCTTCAAATTAGCAAAGATTTTAGAATAATGATGATACCAGGACTGTGAGGTGAAAGACAGGTGTTGTTATCTGCAGTAACTGATACAATGTTTCTGGAAAACATTTTGGCAGTATGCCTCAAGAGCTTTAAAATTTCTCTGCTATTTCCAGTCTTCCGTATCTTTAGCAGTTACTTTCATAATATCAAAAATTATAGAAACACCCTTAATAACCATCAAGGTGAGAGTTAAGTAAACTATACTGCATCCATAAAAGTAGAGCACAGGCAGATACAAAAGATTTCTGAAAATGGGGGGAAATAGGATGTACAAGTATATAAGTTCATTTATGGTTTTCTTTTTGTAAGAAAGATAATAAAAATGTATTTTTAAAAAAAAAGACAGAAAGAGAAGCAGGAAACTCACTAGAATACCCCAATTGTTTATTTCTAGGTTGTGGAACACTAGATGATTTTTGTTTCTTCTCTATATAACTTCCTATATTGTATAGGGAATCCTAAAATAATATACAGATATTTTTTAAATGAGAAAAAATTGTAAAGCTTATTTTGTAAAAATATGGCTGGTAGTGAACTGGTAGACTCACTCCTGGCTTAGTCCACTAAAAATAATGTCACTAAAGATAATGTCATGACTAAAACTTCTATCAACCCAAATGCAACAAATCACACAACTGTGAAATAATTTCATGATCTTAAAAAAAGGCTATTCTCTACTTAATCATATGATGTAGGCCTTAAGGCCTGGGTGTACTCATAGGGTTAAAAGGTTTTTCCTTAGCATTACTGAAGACTGAATAGGTTTTGACACTGTACCAGTCTTTTTCTTGATATAAAAGGCTTATTGAAATTCCATGAAAATTCCCACAAGAAGTCTAGACAGTTTTTTGAAAGTAAGAGCTATGGAATATCTTGACATTTGTGACCATTAGCCCTTTCTTCCCCTTTTTTGCCTTTTAGACAAGAGTTGAGAACAGCTTTGAAATTACGAGGCATTTCCACAGTGTCATACATTGAGAAGACCCCTTAGAATATAAAATCAGTCATTTCCCTTCCATTTTTGCATATCACTTTAGATATGCATGACTTAAACTTCTGAGTAAAGGTAAAGTTCACAGGCTATACAATGGGCCAAGTCACTACAGTACTTAACTACCTTTCACTTTTTTAAAGGTTGCAGAATGAAATAAATAAATGAAATCAGCGGTATTTACTCCCTGCCTTGTATAAATGGGTACTGCATTCAATGACTGATTACTTCAGTGTACTACAGGGAGACAAATAATAAATCTTAACGTTTTAAAAGTTAAAAGACTTAGGCTGTCACCCCAGAACTTCACTAATTTGGTAAGTTTTCTTTACTAAATTGGTATGGAAATATGGTTCAGTATAAACACCAGCCAGCAGGTATATTACCTTTTTACCTAGCAGTCACAATTCTACATTGTCATATTGAATCTGACACAGCATATCAAGATTTGCCTGAGAAGTTTGGTCACATGATTATTACAGCAAACCATGATTAAAAAAAAACAACACAGCTCTCCTATGACTTAGAGTCTGCAAAACTGCACCGAAAGGATGACAAAACATGGCTCCAACTAGGCTTTCCCAAGGATGAACACATGTACACAGAGAAGTGCAAACTGGGAAAATAAAGAGAGGGTAGTCTTAATGCTCAAAAGTATAACATGTATCTTAACACCTACGTAGGCTGTGACCATCTCTTTACCGAAGAAAATAATGCATATATAATGCTCTGTAAACATTAAAATCTACATGAGTTTAAGGTCTTAGTTTTATTAGAATTCCCCTTATTCAGTCTTAAGAAGTTAAAAAAAAAGCCTTCTTAGGAATTAAAAGTGAACTGTAGCAAATTATAGGGGGTTAATATATACTTCAAGAATACTAAGATTGTATATTCTTATATTTCACATTATCACATTTCCAAATACCACTTAGTTACATGAAATATTTCACATACACTGCCTACCAGAAATAACAATTTCACACTAAAACATAAATGAAAAATAGAAGTAAGTACTTACTCACAATACCAAACTGTCCCCAGGACAGAAGTATAGCCAAAATTGGGAAAATAACAATGAGGATATTTTCATTTGGAGAAAACCATGAAACTGGCAAGAAAACAAAGAATCACAATTAGTATTTATTATAAGCACTTTTAAGTCCTATCGATGAATGGTCAACAATACATTTCATTGTGGAGATAGAAAATTTTAAAAAATTAAAACTGGACTTAAAATAAACATATAACCAATTATACATATAATTTATATAACAAATTTTATGAAATGAGAACCTAGTTATTTAAGTGTTCTCTACCTCAGTTTCCCTAACCTATGCCTGATGAAAGGAGATAGTGATGCACAGGTGTGAGAGCAGGGCTCTGCCACAAGACTGCCTAGGTTTGAAACCTAACCCTAGCTTACCATCTTTGTGACTCCGGCCAGTCTTAACACCTCTCTGTTCTTTAGTGTCCTCAACTGTTACACTGGTACAACACAGTACATACCTTGCAGGGCTTTTGTGACTGTTCCAAAGTTAATATATGAAAAGGGTTGAAACAAAGCTTGCCCTTACCAAGGGCTCAGTCAATATTAACTACAATAATTATCACGGGCTCCTTTGGGGAATGACTGTGTGATGGCTAAGGGTTTACCTTAAGCAACAATGAAGTCTTTCTGTAAATACAAACTCAGGGAATGAAATGATGAGGTTGTACAAAAGAGTACCCTTACCTTACTGTGACTAAGACTGAGATAGATGTGAGCCCTACCTTTTCTCGACCTTATTCTGTAACAGAAAACATATTCATGTATAATTAGGCTTCCAACCATTGTTCACATGTAAAGTAACATGAGGGGTTTTAGGTATTACGTGGGTCACATGTCACATAGAGAGTGAAAACAGAGCCACATTCTATATAAAGAAAATTGTGATGTTAAGACATCAAATAAGATTTCTTGAGAACTTTTTCAAAATGAGGTTTAATAGTATCTTATCAACTCATAAGACCATAACTTTGTCTATAAAATTTTTTCTCTAACAATGAAGCCAAGTAAATGCATTGAAAGCATTTCAAAGTTTGCCTATAGAAGAGGATCTTCTGTTTGATGAACATTTCTGAATGCTGCCCAAAGCAAGAGCTGACACTCTCCTGAAACCGACCCTCTGCGTTCGGATTCTCCACTGCTCTGCTTCTCCCCATCAGCGTGTACAGACATTGTGGGCTTTCGTTCCGGAATGATGGCCACCCATTTCTTGCCTTAATATTATGTTAAAACTGATACATGTTCTCAATAATCCCCAGCATATAACATTATAAATTCTATCTTAGAGATATTAGCTTTTCAGTATTAGCATTTTGCCCCATATATAGTAGAGACTCAACAGGTTTGTTGTTGAAGGTTCCAAGCCATAAAATAGTTTAATGGGTGAATAGAAGATGGAGTTTTTGATGTCCCCATGGTTGCAGGTCTCCACGCAGAGACTGACATGCTCAGATACTGTGATTCAATGCCTTAATTTCCAACTATTACTGAACATCTTCCCACACCAAAGGAAACGCATTTCATTTCAGTCAAAATCCTACCAGGAAAAATACTGTAAATTATGCTTAGGTTTTCACATCTAATGCCCAAAGCATTAGATAAAAAGCTCTATGATCTAGTGACTATTCTTAGTTATTTTTCTCTACCCACTTTCTCTATTATTTGGAGTTGTGTACATTAACTGCTCAAACCCTCACAAATATTACATGAGGAGTCAGTAACCCTCCCTTAATGCTGAGGAAACTGAAGCATGGTGAATTAAGAATCTTAATTATCTTGAATGTTTGCTTCTCAAACTAAATGCTGACATCCTTCCCCACTCCCCAGCCAAACCTCCTTTCTGGGTTTTCCCCGTTTCAAAAGCGGTGACTCTATCTCTCTAGCTACTCAGGCCTGGAGTCACCCTCGGCTCCCGGAGTTTCTCTCAGACCCCCATCTGGTCTGATATCTGACCTCATGTTCAAGATGAGCTGACAATGAAATGTGCTTTCACTGATGTCCTTCCCTACACAACAAAAACAATCTTAGGTTGTACTGATGGAAATTGATTAGTAAAAATAAGAGGTGTGTCTGACCCTGGTCTGACCACTCATTTTCACTTATTCCACAAACATTTAAAGAAAGCCCTTCATGGGAAGGGTACTATTCTAGGTGCTTGAGGTCCAGCAGTGAACAAGGCAGGTGGGGCCATGAACTTGAGAAGGGGGAAGGGTTGAAGAACAGACTCTTGTGGGTACTAAGGAGAAGCCCATGGGGAGAACTGGATTTGAGCCCTGGGGGGAAGAAACCTGCCATGTTTTTTCCACACAGAAGAAGAGAAACCAAAAGAACAGCAAGTTCCAGCAGCCAAGAGATGGCTACTGTTGCTCGAATTTAGTGATAGTCAGATGAGACGGGGAGTTGCTGGGCCAAGATCAGGTTGGATCTTAACAGCTTTTTACGAGTCTGGCTTTTATTTTAAGAGCCATGATAAGTGATTGGAAAGCCTCAAATAAGGAAGAAAAATAATCTGATTTATTTAAAATCTTTGGCAGCCATGCAGAGAACAGATTACAGAGAAGACTTACCAGAAAGTTACTGTAGCCACCAGTTAGCAGCAGGAAGGAAGGGCATGGCCCACAACAGCAGTCTTGAATGTAGTTTTACTCATCACATTCAAAAACATAACAGAGACTTGCTTCAAAGGAAGGTGACCAGAATAGGAATCTTGAAACCACAAACAATGGCTGAAAGAATTGGGTGGACAGTCTAACTTAGGGAATTTTAAACTTAGGATAGAAATACTATAGCCCTTCTCATCATAGTGAGACTGATTTTAGGGTTGCAAGTTTTAACTTGACCTAAAGAAGAACTGGAACTGCCTGATAATAGACCAAGATCCTTTGAGAAGTAGAAGAGTTTCTATTCTTCTATATGAGGTGCCAGAGGAAAAAAAAAACAGTGTTTCATGCAAAACCACTTGCATGCCCATTATGGTGTTGATTTGCTATGGTAGTACTGTCACATGACTTTAACTCTTAGGTCAAGAATTTAGGTAAAAAACATGAATGACCGTCTACCTGGAATGTGATAGAAGTAATTCATGAATTAGATGGCAACACAGCCTGGAAGACTGCTAGATGACCCCCAGCCTCTATGAAAAAATAATTTGAAGTGTAAAAATATTTCAGTAACAGAAAGAGGGTGGGATTATAGAACAAAAAACATTGTTGTCTAAGTGATTCTTAACTGGAGCTTATCAGAATCACCAGGCAGTTTACTCAACTTCACACACTCTCCCCTCTCAGCTCCCACCCCAAGATTTTAATATGTCACCCACACTACATGTGTGTGTGTGTGTTGAGGGTGGGGATGTTGATGATTCTCTGTTTAAAATCACTGCTGCAGAACTCTGCTGTAATTCACCTGCTCTCACTGGCATGAATGTGTTACTTTTCTCCAATTTGTTAAGGTAGGAAAAGTCTGAGGATCACTGAATTGGCTGTGCAAGCACTATATGAGGTGCCAGGGGAAACAAAAACCAGTGTTTCATGCAAAACCACTTGCATGCCCATTATGGTGTTGATTTGCTCTGGTAGTACTGTCACATGACTTTAACTCTTCACTCTCCAAGGGGAGAAGCAGACAGTATATTTCACTAAAGTTCCTTTCAGTTCTAAATTTCATGGCACTAAGAAAATGAATTAAACTTAAAAGAGACCAAGAACAATATCAGCTCTTTTTCCACCTCAGGATTAAGAAAGACAATCCAAAATCCATACTCTTACTCCATTCAAACTATGACTAACAACTCTGCCCATTAGTCTCCCCCAGTTTCTGGTGAGGTAGAGTGGCTCCCAGGAGGATTGAGTTATTAGTGGAAACGCAAACAAGTGATATTAAGAAGGCCTTGGTCTATGGATGAGTGTTTAAATTTTATGGCCAAGCCTAAGTGTTATAAAAACCCAATACTACTTCTCTTATTGCTGTGTACAAAATGGGATAGCCCCCCAAAAGTGAAGAGATTACTCCAATCAATTAGGTGTGCCTCTCCTTCAAATATACACATGGTAAGCTTCACAGAGAGAGCCAGCTTTTGCAAAAGAAGATTGCAATAAAATTTACAACATTAAAATTCAAGCCAAGTTTTTACTTTCTTGTTTAAGGATTGTGATAGCTTTTCTGATGTGTCAATTTGGTGAGGTTATAGTTTCAAATCACTTAATCAAATCCAGAAATCTAAGGTGGCTCTCCAAAACCATGTCCCTGCAATCAGCCTTCTGTATATTCCCTCCCCTTGAAGGACAGATGATACTCTGAATATGACAGATTTCATTCCCATGATTATGTTGTGTCATATGGCAAAAGGGATTTTGCTGAGATAATTAAGGTCCCCAACCAGTTGAGTTTAAGAAAGGGAAACTGTCCTTGGAGAGAGGGGCTGACCTCATCAAGGGTGCCCTTAAAAAAGTTTAGGCTCTTTCTGGCAAAAGAAAGTTAATATGTGAGAAAGATTCAATAAGAGAAATTTTCTGGCTTTAAATATGGAAGAGGTTGTGTGGTAAGTAATGGGGGCAACTTCCAGGAACAGAAAGAAGCCCCTGGAAAATATCCAGCAAAGAAACAGGGACCTCAGTCCTACAATCACAAGGAATTCTGTCACAATCACGAGAACTTGGCACAGGACCCCAAAGCCCATATGAGAACAGCAGCCTGGTCAACACCTTGATTTTAGCCCTGAAAGACACTAGTGAAGACCCCAGTCATACCATGACCAGAACTGTGCCCTAAAAAACTGTGAGCTAATAAATGGGGTGTTTTAAGCCACTACATTTTCAGTGATTTGTTACATAGCATTAGAAAACTAATACAAGGATCTTGCAATGCCTTCATGCAACATTATGAACATAAGGTATATCATGTTGATAATGATGGAAATGGCAACTCTGCTGAACTTGAACTGACCTTTCTAAACAAAACCGTAATAGCTTCTTTGAAGAAACATAAAACTTTAAGTTGGCAAATTTTTATATTGTTAATAATGTAAACATAGATATAAGTATTAATAACAAATTTTTTAACTAGTATTTATTTACATTTAACATTTGGTTGTTTACAAGGTTTTTCACAGAAACCATAAACTATGGTTGGAAAAATACTGGGTTTTTGAAGATGATAGATGTAGGTTAAAATCCTGGTATGACTTTGACCTTGAGCAAGTATCCTAAATCTGTCTTGCTTCTTCATGTGTAAAATGGAAGATCACAGAACACACCATACAAAATACCTGGCATGTGCTCAAATAAACGTTGGGTTATTTTACTGTTCTAATTTATACTACTGTTATCACTTCCTTGAAAGCAGGGGTCAGTCACACCTCAGTCATCAATCCACAGTGACTAACACAGTGCCTCACACATAGTAAGTACTCAATAAATATTTTATTTTTTTAAGTAAGATGATCGTTAACTTATTTACATCTCAAACATCCTGTCATATGGATGGTATCTCCATTTTATAGATAAACTGAAGACCAGACAGGTTGTTTGTTATCTAAGTTTTCTTAAACTAGAAAATGGTGAAGTATAGAAAAATTTTCTAAGTTCAAGTCTTATGCTCCATCCATGGTACTAAACTATACATATAGAAACCAGAGGAATGTAAAACTATATCTCATAGATAGTATTTCCACATATTCAGTCCTAGTGCTCTAAAAAAGGGCATAGAGAATGGCCACCATTACTCAGCACTCTACCAAGTAGAATTCTCTATTAAGCAATTTCTATTCCTCACTTATGCCTATATTTGCAAAAAACCGTAACACAGTAAAAATGGTTTCTATCGCCTAAATCCCCAAAGTCCACATGATGGGTAAGTATCATTATCATAATAAACATATATTCCACAGTAGAAGTTCTACCCCAATTAACCTTTCTGTGCAGAAGAGGTTTTCTTTTTATTTTTCTTTTTTTAATCAAAAATGAGTTCAAAATAGTGACACCACTAGATGCTGGCAAAGATGTGGGGAAACTAGGTCACTCATATATTGCTGATGGGAATGTAAAACAGAATAACTGCTATGTAAAACAGTTTGGCAATTTCTTTAAAAACTAAGCATATGCTTACATACAACCTAGTAACTGTACTTCAGAGCATTTATCCAAAGAAATAAAAACCATGTGCACATAGAAATCTGTACACAACTGTTCACAGAAGCTTTGTTTGTAATGGCCAAAAACTGGTAACAAGATGTACTACAGCAGGTGAATGGTTAAACAGGCTGTGATACACCTATACCATGGAATACTTCACAGAAAAAAAGAGAGAGAGAGGGAGAAAATGAATTACTGATGCACACAACTTGGATAGATCTCAAGGGCATTGTGCTAAATGAAAAAGGCCAATCTTAAAAGGTTACATTCTGTATGTTTCCATTTACATAACACTGTTGAAATGACAAGATTATAGCTATGAAGAACAATTTAGAGCTTGCCAAGTTAGGAACGGTAGGTGGTATGACTATAAGGTATTGCATGAGGGAGATATTTGTGTTCATAGAATAGTTCTACATCCTGATTGTGGTGATAGTTACATAAATATACACATGTGACACAATGGCTAAGAAATATACACATTGTACCAGTTGTGAGCTTGCTCATTTTGGTGTTTCCTACAGTTACATAAGATGTGCCCATTGGGGAAACTGGGCAAAGTGTGCACAGCACCTGTTTGTTCTATCTGTGCAACTTCCTATGAATCTATGATCATTTCAAAAAATAATAAAAATGTATGTAAAGCCAAATGTCTGAGACCTCTGGTAGAATTTTCTAGTTTCTCTACAATAAAATAATACCTACTCATCTTAATGGGTCAAAAAGTAAGCACAGCTCATATTTTTAGAAGGTACTTTGAAAACCAGGAAAGATAAAACAATCACACAAACAATTATAAGCTCTGTCTTCATTTCAGATATTGGTATTCCTTTCCTATTCATCTTCAGTCTTTCTTCTGGCCTTTGAAGTCTCGTATTTTGAGTTGACCAGTTCACCTCTCAGCGACGTATGTACACTCCACTCCAGAATTAGTGCTCCCCCATGTCTTGTTTTTTCATTCCCACAAAACTGCACACTCCCTCAGAAAAGTTTCCACTAAATATTAGATTATCTAATTCCATTCACCCACAATGCATATGATTGAACAATTATACCCCCGCTGAAAGGGATACATTTAAAAAAGCTCCTTAGTCCAAATTAATATCAAATTAATAAAAGTTACAAATGTAAGAGATTCCCAAGCAGAAAAGCCATCCAAATTCTGCTAGTTATGTCATGTTATCTCCTACCCATTCCTCATTGCACAGAAGTCCCTCTCACAACACCCCAGGCCAGCTTCAACAACATGATACCTACTTCATAAAATAAACATCCCAGGAACACAGTAACATTTACAAAGCACTTGGGTTCACAAAGAACTTGTACACAAGGGATCTCTTCTGATGCTCATCAGACTGTAGAATACATCAAAGCAAGGATCTATTTTCATTCCCATTTCACAGATGAGGTAATATGAGACTCAGTGAAGTAACTTCCCAGGGTCATATAGGCAAATAGTTAAGTTGCAGAATACAAGATACAATTCAGATGTCCTGATTCCTAATGTTAAACAATGTCAAAATATTCCATCAGACTAAAGACCCTGTTCCCAGTCTGGTAGCAGACATTTTAAAGCAGTAAATGTAGAAGAACAGAAGGCAAACAGCTGAACCAACTGAACTTTTGTGATCCCATCTAAAGCAGAGGTTCTCAAAGTACAATCTAATCCTGAGGTGTCTGGTAATTCAAAACAGAGCCTTCAAAATACACATTCAGAATGCACAGGAATGTAGATGAAGAAATCAGGCACAGCAAGGAATTCTTAAGAAAGCAGACTTGACTTCACCAGCTTTTCAGAAAACTCACCAACTCGTTTGTGAAGTAAGGGAAGAATCAGTCCTATAACCAAAGCTGACTTCAAAATAAATCAGATCCCTGGCTCTCCCACATTTTGGACAAGGAAAAAAGAATGCTAAGGCAGGGCTAAACCCAGGAAACTTCAAGGAATCTCCAGGATAACCTGATCACCTAACCTATGCTTTCCAGAGGAGCATGGCTGAGACTTGTCAACACTTGGCCAAAGTGTAAGATTAAAAAAACAAAGGCTAAATAATTGGAAACAGTCTGGAAAATTACTCTATGAAATAAAGTACTTCTAACGGCAACAACCAGAAGTGCAGAACTGGGGACCTCAGAACAGCTCACCCCAACAGACAAGTTCTCAGAACAAAAGCGTGAGAATTACACAAGACACAAATTAACAAACAAAAAATGAGTTTTACTGTGCAAAATAGTAGAGCAAATTAGATAAAAATCATAATCTTATAGATGCTAAACACTACATCAACATTTATTGAATCTGCTTTTAGTTTCAAAGGAGTTCCTGGCCCCATTTTGCCCCATAATAGGGTAAGGTTGATACATGACAAATAAAAGAGAAGCTTTATATGGAAGTCTTACCAATACGGTATTTTAGTTCTATGATGGTTTCGCCTTCTCTGCTTAATTCTGTTACTTCACAAGTGTAGTTTCCTACGACGGCATTACTCTTATCCATCTTCAAAGAGGCAATGCCCTTTAGTAATTCTGCCGGTGAGATTTCCGCACTTGGAAATTCATTGCTGGTAGTGGACAACTGTTTATATCCATCAAAGGTAAAAATGTCTTTTCCTTTAAGTTTCCACTTTACATACATTTCATTAATGTTCTTTGCCTCCACATTATTAACAAAGCATGGGATGATAATAGTCTTATTGCAAATTGTATATTCTACAGATTTGGTTACATTAAATATTAGCTGAGCTGAACCTAGAGGAAAAAAAGAAAAATTATTTCAGTTTGTTATAGAATTCTGTACTTTCAGATCTTAAGTATATTACAAATCCTTAAGATAAAGAGCAATGTTAAATTGTTCACTTAAGCAGGCATGCAGCTAAAGAGAAGAGAAGACAGGCAAGGTGAAAAACTAATTATTGTAATATTAATGTACACAGCTGGTAGACAACATTATAACTTTTCCTTATTCGTTTTCAGTAATACAAAGTATACATTACAATGCATTTTGGGAATAAGTTCAGCAATGAGTGTTGAAAAATTCAGGTAAAGTATCTGGCTTTAGAAACTAAGAAGTAATTATTACTGCCTACTGATATATGTAGAAAGATATTCTCCTTACCATGGGAAAATTCTGAACAGAAAATCAAACCAAATATTATATTCAGTCTCAATTTTATATACTTCCTCCAAACAGAACCCGCTAAACTGATAGGAAGTTTATCTCTATCCTTAGGTTGCATTTCCAAAAAAGGTGGCAGGCTTTACTGTACTTTAATATAAAAAATAAATTGGATGAATCACATCACATCTTTCCACTAGGATGGAAAGTTTAGAATACTAAGCAGAAAAAACATTCTCTGTGGCTATTTTCCCATTGCAAAATACAGACAGCAATTGATGTTTTGCAGGCAAGTATTATAAAGGATTATATACAGTTGAAAGGCATTTTCCCACCCCTACATTTCATTGAAACTAAAGAGTAACAATTTCCAAATGTATATTTCAGATTTCCTTCTTCCTAGAAACCATAAACCACTCAAAGTAAAGCTAAGAAACAAGTCGAAATCAAAAAAGCTGATACTGCTAGTAAGTAAGGTATGCACAGTAGTCCCCACTAATCCGTGGTTTTGCTTTCCATGGCTTCACAGCCAACTGCAGTCTAAAGGGGATAATCCTCCTCCTGATGTATCATCAGGTCAACAGGTGCCTAGTGCTATGTCACAAGGCTACATCATTCACCTCACTTCCTCACTCCATGTCACCACATAGGCATTTCATGACCTCACATTATCACAAGGAGGGTCAGTACAGTACAGTAAGATATTTTCAGAGAGGGACCACACTCACATAACTTTTCTTTACAGTATATTGTTATAATTGTTCTATTTTATTATTGGCTTTTTGTTTTTAATCTCTTGCTGTGCCCAATTTATGAATTAAACTTTATCACAAGGATGTGTGTATAGGGAAAAACATACTTTATATGGGGCTTGGCATTATCTGGGGTTTCAGGCTTCTACTGGGGGTCTTGGAAAGTACCCCCTGTGAGTAATGGGGGACTACTGCATTCTATCAATTCATCTCAGTAGGATAAACTACAAGTTGTTGCCTTATGAAAGAGTGATTGGGAAAGTAAATGCAACTGCTCATTTTTTATGTGCAAGGTATAAGATGTGGAGAAATTGCAGTTGTCTTCCTATTCAGCCACTTATCAATTATCATATCTAAGTAGTTAGTTGGCTTTTCTTTCAAAAAACAAAACAAACACTAACAAATATAAATAAAATACAACTTTAATAGTTCATCCCTAAGATTTCTTCTTTCTATATAAACTGGGAAAAGAAATCAGGGACACAGGATGTTATTCTAGGAACATACCTATTATTCAATAAATCCCCATTGAACTGAATGCATGGATGTATAGTGGCATGTGAACTGGATATGGACTAGAAATGTTCAGAAAGCCTAATGAATGTGCAAATCCTAACTCTGTCACTTTTCAGTATGCAGCCTTAAGTAATTCACTGACCTCAGCTATTCCTCAGTTTACTCTCTGTGAGTAAGAGGATCAAAAATGAACACCGGGCTATTTCACAGAATTGCAGTGAACATCAAAGGAGAAAATACATGGACAAGTGCTCTCTAACAATACCATGCTATAAATATGTAGGGTGATACCATCAAACTAGGCAATATGGCATTTTAATGTAATGACTGGGACCTTCTCTGACTTGTAGGTCCAAACTGTTACGTTTGGAATTTGCAATCTAAACCAACCTTGTGGGCATCCACAGCTCATGTCTTCCCAGTTTCCTACATTTCTTGCCATCCAAATATTAGAAATCCCCAGGAAAATCTGGACTTCCAAATGCATACTTCAAAACCTTGGGGTTGTAAATTATTTCCCATGAGAAAGCAGCATTTAAGGGAAGAATACAGTGTACAATAAGGAGAGAAGAAAGGGGCAATGATGTTAGAATTAGAAAGAAAGTAAAGTCGGAAGATAGGTGAATGATTTTCAAATGGACAAGATTATTACTGGGTGTCCTTTTAATGGAGTGCTGGGCATTGTCTGAGAGATACTTTGGGAATACCAGTTCTGTAGGGGTCTGTGCCTTTTGCTGTATTTGATTATGTTATTTTACAATTAAGTTTAGAAAACTAATGGTAATACAAATAATTAATGTCCATAGAGAGACAAAGTTTGTTCTGCAATTGATTTCCACCTGGTGGAAGAGAGGATTTTTAAAAGTTACACGTTATTGCCCTGAGGATATTGACCAGTTTTGTGTCTATTTAAAAATTCATTTCAGCATTCATGGTTGCCTATGCCTATAAAATGTGTCTATCCTTTTTTGTTTTAAAACTAAGATGGTTTTATTATGTTGCTGGTTTGCTTATTAATTAATACATGAAATAAAATCTTTGACACATGTTCATTTTATATTTGAGTCAAGATTTACTTTCTAAAAATTACCTTTCAATAACAGATGCAAGTGGAGAGCTCAGTTATCTTGGTAAGCTTTATTAGAAGGCTCAGAGTTAAGCAAAAAGTAGTCAACAAACACTCAACAATTCCATAACTTATGTTTGAGAATCAGTTTTCTAAATGTACAGAAAGCTTTAATTGCACCGCATTATTTGTTGTAATAAAAAAAAATGTCACAGCCGAAGCAAGTTAAGTAGAATAAATGCTGTCAATAAAACTTCAAGTAAAACTGGCCTGGCAAACCATAACCCTGTACTAATAATTAATGTATAACTATAGTCCAAAATGTCACACCACCAGCAGTTAACAACTTAATCCTCTAAAAACATTTATTAAGAAACATTAAGTAATAAAATTATCTGATTTGAGTTTTTTCTGTTTTGCTTATTGCCTTTAGATGAAACAGCAAAGTGAAGGAAATATTTAAAACACAGAGAGCAAATAAAGGGACATATGTAATTAACATAAATAAGAAAAATCTGAATAATTATGATATTACTACAGCAGTCTAAATCAGACAGGAATATATAACTATTTGTGATGCCAGAGTTATATATAAATTACCAAATGAAATATGAAGTTATTTTATATCAAATGCCAAAAACATTGGACCTTATAACCTCAGTGAATATAGACCACTAGCCCAATCTATCACACCACTGTCTTAAAAAGAGCTACTATGTAGTTGAGGAGTGGGTTCAATACCTGGTGGTCACAGCACACAATTCTAGCTCATAAATTTAAAAATGCAACATCTATTGAGAATTACCTGATCTGAAACATTGTGATAGGATGTGGGGATACAATGGTTAAAAAAATGTAGGAATTATCTTTCAGAAGCTTCCAATTCTCACTTGGGATAATGATTCATACTTTCTGTAGCACAAGGTCATAAATGTTTATCTTCCTGTATGAACAAAGTGCTATGGTGGGCAAGAGAGTTATCAGTCTTGCAGATTTCTAAGAAAATTTGCATAGGCCCTGGGGTAAAGAAGATTGTCATAGTCCCCAACCATCTGGGTCTTCAGTCTTTTATCTTTTAACTCGTTCCACATCAAAATATCTCTGCTTTGCAACAAATCTTAAATCACTCTTCTTAGGCAAGAACTTATCCTATATGCTCCAAAGGAACCCTTTCTCCCGACTTAATTCAAATTGAGTCCTTCAAATGAGAAGCCAGAAGCTTCCAATACTCCCCACCTACAAACTTACCTGCGATCCCCACAATCCACTTCCTCCTCTTCAGAACTGATCCCTTCACCTGAGAGCTATTTTCCATTTGTGCCTTCACATCCAACAATCTTCTCAAAGACTTTCCTGGTTGATTATCAGCCTCCTAGACCCCCCTTTTCCATTTACATATTTTTTTTAACATTTAAAAAATGCTTGAATATTGGCCAACTTTTAAAAATCCCTCATACTTGTCTCTCTCTTCCCTAGTATCCTAAAATAATCTCAATGCTTTTCTTCATCTCCTATTCACTTTTTAAACCTCTACTACCTGGCGTTTGCCTCTCCTTTTTCAATGGCTCTTGCCAGAGTCAACAATAATTCCTTGTGAAAATTTTAATGTGCATAGTTCACTTTCTATCTTGACTTCTCTACAGTTATGGAGCCAGTGGGCAGCCCCTTTCTTGTTCTTGTCCTTTGGTTTCTATCTTTTTATTCTGAATTTCCTCCTATTGCTCTGTCCACCCCATTGCAGCTTTCTTTCTTCATTTAAATCTACTTCTTGACTCACAATAAATTCGAGCATTCCTAAGGGCTTCCTATTTAGCACTACCTCCATCTGCCCACCCCCCAGCCCAGTATTCTCCCTTACTCCACAGTTTTAACTACCTATGAACTTTTTATTTAACTAGGCCACATCGTTCTTCTTAACTGCTGACCTTGGAAAGCCAACTGTCAGTGATGAATTTTCACTTGGGGATACTACAGTTACTTCAAAGTCAGCATGTACAAAATCTCATTTACCCTCTTCCTACCCTGCTCCCAAATCCTCACCTCCATGAAGTATTTTCTATTATCTACCAGTGAACCAGATCTGAACCTAAGACTCATCCTGAATTCCTCCTCTCCTCAGCCATGGAAAATTTTTGTAGGCTCAACCTATTGAATAGTCCCTAAATTCATTGCCTGTTGCATAAGTGGATTAAACATTCATCCTTTCTCCCTTGAACTACTACCATATCCTCCTAACCAGTTCTCTGCCTCCAGCCTCAATATTTCCCCATCCCAGCCCCAATGTATTTTCCAGTTCCCA